GCTCCCGTTGCTGTTTCCTGGCGGTTCTGTATCTGTAAAGGCGCATCTAGGCCCCCAAGCCCGCAGAGGTGACACTGGACAAACCCCGTGTCACAATCCGAGCTGGTACCTCCACCTCGGAACCTGCTCCCTAAGCAGCTCTCCTGGAGCACCAGGACTGCCGCAGGGTGGTCGAGCGTGCGGCGGCCCCAGCCCGGGGGTTGAGGAGCTGCTCACGTTGCACTCGTTGTATCTGTAAAGGCGCATCTAGGCCCCCAAGCCCGCAGAGGTGACACTGGACAAACCCCGTGTCACAATCCGAGCTGGTACCTCCACCTCGGAACCTGCTCCCTAAGCAGCTCTCCTGGAGCACCAGGACTGCCGCAGGGTGGTCGAGCGTGCGGCGGCCCCAGCCCGGGGGTTGAGGAGCTGCTCACGTTGCACTCGTGTCCACACTGCGGCCTTCACCGACGTGCAGCGGGAGAGCCCTGCCCGGGGCCTGGCCGCAGAGCCGCTCTCCAGAAACACGGGTGGCTTTTCCCGTCCCTGTGCTCAAAACCTCTGCGGGGCCTTTGAAGTTCCCAACACTGAGCTGGAGAAACGCGACCTTTGGGGCTGCAGCCCTGGGCGACGAGTGACCCAAGTGCCACCAACAGCCCCTCTAAGGTCGTGCCAGGGCCGCGTGTTCTGCTTGGCTGCGGAGCTTGCACTAGGCTTGGAGGCTCTGCGTTCATGTAAGCCCCACTACAGTTCATCACGTCAGACTTAAATGGAACAAAGATAAACTTGTCTTAAATAGAAATTCAGAAACGTCTTATCTCTGTGCAACCTCCTTCCCAACCCACCTCCAGCACACGGAGAGTTTTCTGCTACAGCCCTGGGAAATAGGGGCTGAGGCAGCAGCTGGGACGTTAATCTTTGGGACACATGTTTTTGGGACACACACAGGACCTTGCGCCTTCAGTCTACCCAGAGCCTGATGAACGTGCGACTTTGGCCTGCGTCAGGGCAACAACGCAAATTCCGACCGCAATCAGCCTCTAAAATACAAACGGCTCTAGATAAACATGAAAACAATGTTCGGATTTATTGCTCATCAGCAAAACAAGAGCAGCGGGTGCCAGGGGCGGCCACACATGAGGACGAACGCTTCCTCGTGGCGCATGCGGCGCTGCCGGGCCGCGAGCTCGGCCCAAGCGGGGCCTTGGGCAGGGAGCTCCGGGGCACTCGCAGCCCAGTCGCTGCATCGCAGCTGGAGGAGGATTTAAAAGAAACTTGGGGAAAAGGCCAACCCGCTCCCTCGCACCGTGACTGCTGGGGGAGGCTGCCCTGGCGCAGCAGGAGCTCCAAGGGAGCCGCTCCATGCAGCTCCTGCGGACTCATCCCGCGGCTCCGGATTAGCAGGGCTGGGAGCCGGCCCGGCCGCGCTTGGGCGCTCGGGAAGATCCGCCCGGCCGCACGCGGCTCCGCTTAGGCTGGAGTGCCACCTGCTGCCGCGCGGGCCCTCGGCCGTCCAAACCCGGCTGCCCTCCCCAGCACAGAGACCGGCTGCTGGGAAACCATGAGGTGAACTTGGGAAACCTGAGGAAAACATGGGATGCTCGGGGATGCCCTGCTGCCGCCACACGTCCCCAGGCCGGGGGCGCCACCATGACCACCAGCCCCAACTTCCCTGTTGCGTCCTGTCCTCGGCCCTCTCCCTGTCCTCTCCAGCCACCCTGTGCCCTTGTTCTTCCTCATTCACCTCTGCCTGGTGAGCAAGGCCAGGAGCGGCCCTGCTCCCACTTGAGGCAAGAAGGGACACGTCACTGTCCTGTCTCCCACTGTGAGGCGGAGGAGGCTCAGGAAGAGAGGGGAGAGGAGCCGTCCTGAGGACGCGGTGCCCACACGGTCGCGAGGCTGCCCCGGAGCAGGCGCCGGCTCTGCCCCCGCTCTCACAGCAGAGTGGGGCGGCTGCAGCCTCAGCCCTGGCGCGGGGGCCGCGGCGATGCCGGGGGAGACGTCGCTAACAGAGGAGGCACCCGCGTTACGGAGCCGAGGAGGATGGGCAGCCTCCTCGCAGCTCCAGGGCAGCGTTTCCCACCCCGGACAAGGGTTTCCCTGCCCACGACGAGGGCACCGCGGGACCCCGGGAAGCGGCGGAGCTGCAGAGTCTCCCTACAGCTCGCGGCACTCGAGCACGACGCCGCGCGAGCGCAGGAACCTCCCTGCCAAGTTCCAACCCAGGAGACCATGCCCGGGGCTCCCATCTTCGGCAAGGAGAGGCCTTCCTGCCTTCAGGGGGCTCTGACACCAGGGCAGAGACTCCCAGGTTTCACCTTCCAGCACACAGGTGTGACAGCAAAGCAACTTCCCCAGGTTGCAGGGTCAAAACAGTCTCAACAGTCTTGAACAGCAGTGCTTAGACTACAGGTTTATGAAAGTTATTCATTTTGGGAATAAATCCAGTCTTCAGCTCTTCCACAAAACTTAAAGAAAGCCCAGGAGTTTCCAAACTTGGTCTTTCTGCATCAGGACCATCTCTCACCTGCTTATCCCCCTGTGCTCCCTTCCCAACCCTACATGACAGGAGGTCTGGAAATGAAGGCTCTTAGGCAGCACAGTTTGATTAAGACGGCTTAAAATTCGAGCTTTAATTGAAATGGAAAGAAACATTCCAAGAGGATATATGTCTTATAGATTGGAGTTACCAAATTTAGTTTTCATTGGACATTATTGCAAACATGAACATTAAATCATAAACGCCGAATAGGAGAGAACTCAAAAAAGGATTTAATCATACTATATCATAAGGGATCGGACCAAATGCTTTTGTAGGCAACTATCCAGATATGTGGCACACTGACACGTTAGCTCATAAGATGTAAAAACATCCCTGAATTCACCCAATTTGTTTTTTTTTCCTGGGGACTACATCAACATTTTCCTGACAAGTGTCTTCTCTGCCAGCAACAAATCCCAGCTCAATACACAACTAAAATGATATACATTAGAGGGGCATGTGTTTAATAATATTGTCAGTTTAAATTACTTGAGCAAAAATTTAAATTCCTTATGACAGAAATCTAAAAAGGAGGAAAAAAAATTGAGAGAGAACACCACTGCAATATTAATGCCAAATTGTTACTTTTTTTTTTTTTAAACATATCTGTACAGCAACATAGCAAAGAATGCAGTGATCACAATTCAAACCAGACAGCAATCTAAGGGAATGCTAATCCTGTATACAGCAGAGCAGAAACACTCCCACCTTCGGATGCTCCAGATATGTCAGCTACCCTAGCGCACTCCAAACCAGTTCTACCTACATAGGACATTTTGGTGTGAAAAAGTTTCTGTAAAGTTCCCTTTGTTTCCAGTGTTTTTCTTGTACAAAATATTACAATGATTTTTTTTATATATATTTACAGACTTGCACAGCTAGAAAAATACAAATTACAATTGGGCTTGGCAATCAGTTCTTTTCTTTAAATACATGATTTGGAACATAGATTTCAGAGCAATAATTGTAGTGGTAACATATCCTGCCCTTGAAGCATCTGCACAGAGCAGCTTTCTTCCTTAAGCAGCTCAAGCCTAGAGAACATGATTGCAGTGAGACACGTGCCACAGCAAGTGCAATGAATGCAATTCATCTACCCCGGCATCAGGAAGACCCCAGATGAACGCAGTTTGGGCAGGCTGGTGGCACAATACAGAGAAATTCATAAACTGAACATTAAACTCATTAACACCCATTGGTTTCACAGGCAGAGCCTGTTTAAAAAAGGACAGCCAATGTAGCTTTTAGGAAAAGCAGACATCGAGTTCATGGGGTATTATACATATTGAACAGACATGCAACCACAGTTAACATTTCAGGGGCATTTGCTCACGCTTTGAGCGAGCCCCAAGGTTAATTTTTTTTTTCATTTTTTTTTTTTTTTTTTTTGAAAAAAGGCCAGGGGGAATTTTTTTTTTTGCTTTAAAGCTACAGTATCTCTCATTATGGCTTTTAACACCCCGCCTTTCACTGAGATGAGGTAAGTGTTTCTAGTGAAATGGTAACAGTTGAGCAAAACAAGTTTCAATGGACCGCAAAACTTTGTACACAGGTGTAAACAGTTCTTCCCAAAAGGGGTTGCCAAACCGAATTGTAACAGTGCAAAAAAGGGATTTTGTTAGAAAAAGTTGTCGAGGCATCTCGGACATTGCTAGTAGCTGTCAATCCACTGAGCGAATCCTCTTTCCACCAGAGCTCTGTTTATCGACACCACCTGAAGGGAAGCACAGAGAGGTGAAGGAACCCGCAGGCAGACGCAGCACCAGGTTCTCACCGCGCAGCGCCTGCCCGTGTGGGCGCACTCACCTCGTCGCCCATCATGCTCCACAGCTGGATCAGCGGCAGCCCGGTGGCATTGTCGTAGTTTGTGACCTGCAAAGGCAGGAGACGCCGCGTCAGGGGCGGCCGCCCGGCCCGAGGCACAGGGGGGCACCGCTCACGGCCCGTCGGACGCTCCACACGGAGCTACGCGGCGCCCAGCACCCAGTGCCCACGCGGTGCTGCTCCGCGGCCACCGCACAGCGGGGACACCCCGCGGCGGGGACACCGCGCGCTAGCAACCCGCTCTGTGCCAGCGCCAGAGCCAGCGATGCCCCTTCTCCCGCCTCCATCACTCGGCAAGAGGCATCCGGCCTTCCCTGCGTTCCTCAGGGACGCGCGCAGCCAGCAGGAAGTTATCTGCCTGTGGCCAGCACTGAGATTTTTCTTCAGATCCCTGCCCAG